CACACACACACACACACACACACACACACACACACACACACACACACACACACACACGGTTCTGCATCAAGTAGTATTAGTTCCTGTTAAAAGTGACCAACATTCAGACACAGATAAGGAACAGAGATAAGACCGTGCGGGTGCAGACTTTCTGTTTCTACATTTAGTTGTTTCCAAGAAACAAACAAGATAAACACATTTAGATGAAGTCCATTCCTGCCACTGAAAATAAAATGAATTGTAAAATGGGATTTCACAATTTCAACTCTCTAAGTCCCAGCTTTGACTGAACAGAAAACTATTTATTTATATTCAGTGACAGATGGTCTTCCATACATTCAGGTTCAGTTGGAGCTGAAAAAAGATCAGCCTCAGTTTAGATACTTGTTGTTTTTCTATTGATCACCAACACAAGTTAACTTCTTACAACACTGATAGTTTACATTTTATAGCTGCCAGGTTTTACCTGATGATGTCATAAACTGACAGGTCCACGTGATTTCAGGTGACGTCACCTCCAACCTTTACATGAGGAAACTCCTCCCACCAGACTTCACATCAGCCCAGCCGGGTCACGCACCAGCTGACCCATAAGGAGTGGATCCATATGGGTTACTGATGAAGACTATCCTCTGATGAAGAGGAGAAAACTCCTCTTTGTGATGAAAATCAGAACTCAGTAAAATATTGTTTTTCTCTGTGGGTCTGATCTGACGTAGATTTAGAACCTGAAACGTTTTTGTTGACTCACCAGTAAAGAAACCAACRGTTTTCTGGGATCCAGCTGGTTTTGAGTCTCAAACTTCTGGACTTTATTCAGAACAAAAGATTTTTATGGTTTTAAGAAAAACAAAGTTTATTAAACATTTAAAATCAGTTTCTGTAAAAAACAAACATGTTTAAAATAAGAGTAAAACTTAAGGTGCGTTTGGTTTTAATACTGCTGTCAGCCGGATGGAGTCTCCGGTTCTGGTTCAGATCTGGTTCATTTTGTTCTGGGTCATCTGGATCAGCAGGTCTGAGTATTTCTCCAGCAGAGAYTTCGTCTCGTCATCCTGCAGCGAAGCAGAGGGGGCGCTGTCAGGGCTCCACCCACCAAGGCTCCGCCCACCACCCGGCTGCATCACGATCAGCAGCTCAGAGTAAACATGGTCAAATGCCTCCTGCAGGACGGACAGGTTCTGCTGGCGCTGATCCGACTGGCTGAGCTGCAGAATGAATGAATGAATAATCAGCTGCAGTGAAAGAAGTGTGTGAGTAAACAACAACAACAACAACAACAAGAAGAACAGACCTGCTGGAAGAGACGGACCGCCCGGCCCACCGTCTCTCGGAGCTCTCTGCTGACCTGCTGGACTCTGAGCCGCTCCTCTTCCTCACCTTCGTCTCCACCTGAACAAACACTCAGACCTCCATCACCGCCAGCAGCTGAGACAGGAAACAGGAAGTTACCTGGACGAGTGCTGTCGTCCAGTCGAGGGGGGCGGAGCCTCTCTGTCAGAGGTGAGGACAATGTGGGCGGGGCATCAGCTGATAAGAAGCAGAGACAAGAAGAGCTGTGATAGGATCAAGTTCTGTGGGGGCGGAGACAGAAGCGACGGACTCACCTGGACCCGTCTGGATTCTGGTCTTGTCTACAACTGGACCCGCCCCCTCCACTGAGCCGGAGGAGGTGGGCGTGGTCGAYGGGGCGGGGCTTTGCATTAGAGTCTCAGTGCTGCTGCTCCACCTGTGATAGCTGCTCTGTGACGTCACCTGAGTGGGCGTGGCCAACACCTGAAGGCTGAATTCAAACGTCAGGATTTAGACCTGATTCTGTTCTGCTCCTCTGATCACCTGTAGAGAAGCCACGCCCCTTTCTTACCTGCTGTTCTGGTCTCGGGGGTCCGTTTCATCAGTGGGAGTGTTTGGACCAGCTGATACCCCACTGCTGGTCTGAACCCCCCCTGCAGGGTCTGAGGAGGAGGAGGAGGGGTTCTCCTGGTTCTCCTCCTGGGAGGAGGTGGGGGTCTCTGGACTCGGTCCAGATGTCTCCAGGTATTTGAGCTGAGGTGGGTCCTGCTGGACTGAAGCCTCAGAGACACTGCTGTCCAGAGACCTGGAGGGGAGGTCTGGTCGGGTCCAGAACAGAAAACTGAGTCAATATAAAACCAGCAGAACCTGAGCTGAGACAACCAGGTGAAGACCCCCCCCCCCACAGGTGAGGATCAAAGGAGGACGTGTTCTGTGTTCTCTCCCAGTCAGTCCTGATCTGGGACCCTGAAACCAGCTGAAGCTTCCTGCAGAAAGAAAATCCAGAAGGTGGACCAGAACCACCAGAACCACGTGAGGAGCTCAGACCTTGCAGAGTCCTCCTGCACTGGACCGGCAGCGCAGTGCGGTGTCTCTGTGGGGGTGGGCGCTGCWGGGTGGTCCCACAGGAAGTCCTCCTACGAAGGATCTGCTGAGCCCTGGCTGTGTCACAAACACAAGGTTCTGATGATGGACTCTGAGGTCCAACATCTGGACAGGTTCTGTTCTCCTGCAGATCCAGGTTAATCTGGACCTTCAGGTGTGACAGGTGAACACTTCCTTACATCAAACAGAACCTGTGGGACCATCAGAACCTCTGCTGCTCTCAGGTGACTAACCTGAGGGAGGCTGTCTCCAACCTGCTGTTTTTCATGGAGCTGCTGAGAAGCTAACGTGTCAGACAGTCTCAGTTAGCATCCTGTGTGACTTTCATTCATGCAGAAGTTTACCTTCAGAAGTTTTTCACGTGTTTCCACTACAACACACTGGATTTAAATTTTCTAACAGTCAGATTCAAAGAAATCCCAAAGTGGACGTTGTTGTTTTCTCCCAACTTTTACCATCATTTAGCAGCTGATGCTGAGCAGCAGACTGTAAACATGTTACAGACCACAGCTGACGTGAAACTGAATAAGACATAAATTAATACTAAAACTAAGGATGTTCTATCAATAATTTCAGTTTTAGTTACTGTATTCATTCATGTGTAATACGACCGTGTGTAATACAACCTCGTGTGTAATACGACCTCGTGTGTAATACGACCTCGTGTGTAATACG